GTGGTATCAGACAACACAAACACTGGGCAGTGGTATCAGACAACACAAACACTGGGCAGTGGTATCAGACAACACAAACACTGGGCAGTGGTATCAGACAACACAGACACTGGGCAGTGGTATCAGACAACACAGACACTGGGCAGTGGTATCAGACAACACAAACACTGGGCAGTGGTATCAGACAACACAAACACTGGGCAGTGGTATCAGACAACACAAACACTGGGCAGTGGTATCAGACAACACAAACACTGGGCAGTGGTATCAGACAACACAAACACTGGGCAGTGGTATCAGACAACACAAACACTGGGCAGTGGTATCAGACAACACAAACACTGGGCAGTGGTATCAGACAACACAAACACTGGGCAGTGGTATCAGACAACACAAACACTGGGCAGTGGTATCAGACTGTCAGACAACAATCCACAGAGACAGACCAAGTTTGGCCAAGCCCTGTGTCTGTCCAGGAGAAACTGTGCTGGCCGACAGACAAGCTGCAGAAGACTGAGAACTATGTAGTCAATACTTGATAGAAAAAACTTCCCCTCAAGGGAATTGAACTCCCACCTCATGCAAGCAGTGGTGAAGAACCTAAACATTAAATCACAGGGGTAATTACTTCTCTGATCTTAGGCTAGGCAAGACAAATCCTTCAGATCAAAACCGTGTAAGTCACACAATGTGGGACCAGTTTTAGCTTCCACTGCCCATTTGGGGCTCTTGTTTGGTGTGTCTGTCGGTCTCGGAGGAATCCGGGTCTAGAAATCTTGCTCCACAGAGCTCCCAGAAGGCGTAGTGTTGGCAGAATCCTACAACGGGATGTGTTTGCTACAGTGCTGTTGTCATTTCTACAGGTGCAGTATCTGAAGTTTTTGCATTTTATAGGTTATGTTATGTATTATATTATGTTATGTATTATATTATGTTATGTATTGTTATGTCATCTAATCATATCTTCCACTGACCACAAAGTTCTGGATGAGAGGAAACTCTGGCACCATGTGAGGCACGGTCACGATGCAGAAGTCCCGGTCGGGAAATTTAGAGAAAGCCTTGACCAAAAAGTCACAGGATCTGAAAAAACAAAAAAAAAAACAAATGAGATAAATCAACAGCAGTGAGAAATAGCATGCCCCCCCCACCCCCCAACTCCTCTCACATCTCCCTCACAGATTTCACACATCTCCTACCTCTCCCACACACATTTCACCCCACACACATCTCCCACCTCTCCCACACACATTTCACCCCACACACATCTCCCACCTCTCCCACACACATTTCACCCCACACACATTTCACACATCTCCCACACACATTTCACCCCACACGCATTTCACACATCTCCCTCACAGATTTCACACATCTCCCACCTCTCCCACACACATTTCACCCCACACAGATTTCACACATCTCCCACATACATTTCACCCCACACACATTTCACACATCTCCCACACACATTTCACCCCACACGCATTTCACACATCTCCCACACACATTTCCCACATCAGTAAGAAGGAGCCAAGGAGAAGCAGTAGCAAGGCTGCAGAAAGAGTCAGGAGCCCAGAGGAGGGGGCAAAGGAGGTGAGGGCAGAACGTGGAAATGACTGCAGATGACAAAACATAGTTAGTGAGCAGGAAAGAAGGTGAAAGTAGAACATTTTAGAGAAGAAAATTTTCCTTTGCTGTCTGGATTCAAACTTGGATCCTATTGAAAGAGAGGCGAACACAGTGACCTTTCAACCATGAGAGCCACACCAACAAAGTCTAACAACCGTATCCAATATCAAAGACATAATGGCACCCACACAAATAGAACATGGGACCAAAAACCAAAGAAGACAAACCTCATCTCGTACTGCTCGGCGACACAGAAGAGCTGTATGCTGAAGGCGTTGGGCGCACCGTGGTAGGTGGGGACGAATCTTTTCTGGCTCGGGGGGACCAGCTCTTTGGGGGTCATGGGCTGGGACAGGGGGCTCTGGGAACAACAAATATCATAGACTTTTTTTTTTGGAGTAAGAGTTTTACTGCACTAGCAACACAATAAGGTCACATTAGTGCCGAAGAATAGAGGTGTTACAAGGGAGTAACAAACACAAAAAGAAGGAGGGGAGATAAAAAAAGACAATAGATGTTTGATAGGAAAGAAGGAGCAAACCACACCACAGCACCCTCCAACCACCCACTCATAGACTTTATGTTACATAATTCTATTGTGTCTATTACATTGATGGGTGGGGCTAAGGGTGGAAGAAAAAAGGAGACTCTCTACTGTTTCTGCTCTTAAGTGGTCAAACAGTGGTCCTATGAGATAAATAAACTGGTTGCAATGGATAAGAAAGAGTGGTGCATGTCATTATCAGAGAGGCTAGGATAGCACTTGGGAGGTGTGAGGTTTTGACCATTGAGGTTTTGACCACTGAGGTTTTGACCATTGAGCTTTTGACCACTGAGGTTTTGACCATTCCTGGCTGACAGGTGACTCTTGATCCTACTGTGCATGGGCTGCCCTTTTGCCCTGCCCCTTTGCCCTGCCCCTTTGCCCTACCCATCTGACCTGCCCCTTTGCCCCACCCCTTTGCCCTACCCCTTTGCCCTACCACAACCCCCCTCCCCCCCTCCCTCAACCAAATTTCACTGCCCAAAATGGAATTGTTTTCTGGCCCCCTTGAGATTCCATCCTGGGTAAGTTGGACAGTAGTAAGTGTAAGTGTGAGATTCCATCCTGGGTAAGTTGGACAGTAGTAAGTGTAAGTGTGAGATCCCATCCTGGGTAAGTTGGACAGTCGTAAGTGTAAGTGTGAGATTCCATCCTGGGTAAGTTGGACAGTAGTAAGTGTAAGTGTGAGATTCCATCCTGGGTAAGTTGGACAGTAGTAAGTGTAAGTGTGAGATTCCGCTAAGACAAAGGTAGTGGAACAAACCGATTTCTCCACAGTCTCTGCGGCCTCCTTGATGTTCTGCTCGTAATCTGACAGCTCACAGACCATGCTGGGGGAGCCCGCGTCGCTCAGACGATGGTCCGTCTTCACTTCTTGCGCCGGACTTCCAGCTGATGGGGTCAACGACAAACAACAAATATAAGCCCACATAAGGATCAAAGGGATCATGTTGTTGTTATCGATCCAGTCAAAGGGATCATGAAACTATACTAAAAAAGAGAGTTCCTTGTTGTTTTTCATATGGTTGTTTCCTGTGTCGATTACATTGTTGTATTGCAGGATATTTCCATCAGTGTTTTCTGTGTCGATTACATTGTTGTATTGCAGGATATTTCCATCAGTGTTTTCTGTGTCGATTACATCGTTGTATTGCAGGATATTTCCATCAGTGTTTTATGCGTGGTGTATGTTGTTGTTTTATATGTTTTTTACACAGTTGTTTTATGTGTTGATTACATCATTGTTTTATGTGTTGATTACATCATTGTTTTATGTGTTGATTACATCATTGTTTTATGTGTTGATTACATCATTGTTTTATGTGTTGATTACATCATTGTTTTATGTGTTGATTACATTGTTTTATGTGTTGATTACATCATTGTTTTATGTGTTGATTACATTGTTTTATGTGTTGATTACATTGTTTTATGTGTTGATTACATCATTGTTTTATGTGTTGATTACATCATTGTTTTATGTGTTGATTACATCATTGTTTTATGTGTTGATTACATCATTGTTTTATGTGTTGATTACATCATTGTTTTATGTGTTGATTACATCATTGTTTTATGTGTTGATTACATCATTGTTTTATGTGTTGATTACATCATTGTTTTATGTGTTGATTACATCATTGTTTTATGTGTTGATTACATTGTTTTATGTGTTGATTACATCATTGTTTTATGTGTTGATTACATTGTTTTATGTGTTGATTACATCATTGTTTTATGTGTTGATTACATCATTGTTTTATGTGTTGATTACATCATTGTTTTATGTGTTGATTACATCATTGTTTTATGTGTTGATTACATTGTTTTATGTGTTGATTACATCATTGTTTTATGTGTTGATTACATGGTTGTTTTATGTGTTGATTACATCATTGTTTTATGTGTTGATTACATCATTGTTTTATGTGTTGATTACATTGTTTTATGTGTTGATTACATCATTGTTTTATGTGTTGATTACATTGTTTTATGTGTTGATCACATCATTGTTTTATGTGTTGATTACATTGTTTTATGTGTTGATTACATCATTGTTTTATGTGTTGATTACATCGTTGTTTTATGTGTTGATTACATTGTTTTATGTGTTGATTACATCATTGTTACATGTGTTGATTACATCATTGTTTTATGTGTTGATTACATCATTGTTTTATGTGTTGATTACATCATTGTTTTATGTGTTGATTACATTGTTTTATGTGTTGATTACATCGTTGTTTTATGTGTTGATTACATTGTTTTATGTGTTGATTACATCATTGTTTTATGTGTTGATTACATCATTGTTTTATGTGTTGATTACATCATTGTTTTATGTGTTGATTACATCATTGTTTTATGTGTTGATTACATCATTGTTTTATGTGTTGATTACATGGTTGTTTTATGTGTTGATTACATCATTGTTTTATGTGTTGATTACATCATTGTTTTATGTGTTGATTACATCATTGTTTTATGTGTTGATTACATCATTGTTACATGTGTTGATTACATCATTGTTTTATGTGTTGATTACATCATTGTTTTATGTGTTGATTACATCATTGTTTTATGTGTTGATTACATTGTTTTATGTGTTGATTACATCGTTGTTTTATGTCTTGTTTTCATTGCTGTCTTACTCGTATGTAATGAATGTACGGCTGAGAAAGTTGTTCTTTATGTGATAGAACTGGTTTTTCGCTAATGAGAAATGTTTGTATCTTGTGTGAATGAAGTGTTACTCTCAGTGATCATGTCATTGACGTAAAACACTCGCACACCCATACGTACAAAAACACACACACAAACATACACACACACAAACACACACACACAAACACATACACACACAAACACACACACACACACACACATGCACACACATACACAAAAGCAAACACACAAACACACACACTCGCACACAAACACACACTCAGGGGATTCGAACCCACCTCTAGAGCTGTGTTTACTTCCTTTGGGACTACTCTCTGCCACAGCGTCAGCGCCCAAACTCTTCTCTCCGTTCACGCCCTCTGTCGCTCCCTCATCTATCGCGGCTGTGCTGGCCGACTTAGAGCCCAGAGATTCCTGCTCTGGCTCGTCTTCTGTCCAGAAAAAAGGTCAAAAATTACAATTCAAAGTTCAAAGCTTCAAATTCCAAGTTTAAAGTTCTAAGATCATAGTACTTTACTTTACTTTTACGATCCAGCGGCCATTTGGGTTCTAGCCCTTCGGTCTGTCGATATGGCAAAGAATAAGATCATAGATCTAGTAAAAAAAATAAGAAGTTCAAAGTTAAAATAGTGGCCTGCTAATTTGTTTGTTTGTTTGTTTGTTTGTTTGTTTGTTTGTTTGAGAAATGAGGAGCACATTGCTTCAATGACAGTCATTTAGCACAGGGAAAAGTCTAAATAGACAGACAGAAACAGCAGAGGGAAAGAAAAGAAGTAGGACCTAGCAGTGACACCTTCCAACCACCCACAGGCCAGTTAGCTCAGTCTGTATTGCGTACAATCTAAAGACGCAAGGAGCAACGCTGCCACACCAGCGTCTGTGGTGGAACAGTAAGGCTCTTCGCTCTTACACACAGAAGACATGAGTTCCATTCTCTTGAATGTGGTGAAGTTTTTTTCTTACAGAAATTCTCTTACTGTCTGCTGGGATTTTGAATCCCACTCATCCCGGGTGGGCTCTGATAAGCGGGAATGAAACATCTCAAATGATTTCCATTTGTATCAACAGGAAGGTGTAAAGCACTCATGATGAAGAAACAGAAACACTCCCCAACTACATCTCTAAACCAATACGCGCCTTTTTCTTTTCCTCCTCCTTCTACCCCCCTCCCCTCCTCATTCTCCAGATTCCATCCTGGGTAAGTTGGACAGTAGTAAGTGTAAGTGTGAGATTCCATCCTGGGTAAGTTGGACAGTAGTAAGTGTAAGTGTGAGATTCCGCTAAGACAAAGGTAGTGGAACAAACCGATTTCTCCACAGTCTCTGCGGCCTCCTTGATGTTCTGCTCGTAATCTGACAGCTCACAGACCATGCTGGGGGAGCCCGCGTCGCTCAGACGATGGTCCGTCTTCACTTCTTGCGCCGGACTTCCAGCTGATGGGGTCAACGACAAACAACAAATATAAGCCCACATAAGGATCAAAGGGATCATGTTGTTGTTATCGATCCAGTCAAAGGGATCATGAAACTATACTAAAAA